CAGAGAAGACAGGTCCACAGACAAGGGCAACTTCCCCTCTGGAGGGTTGGGGTATCCCCAGCCTCAGTGGCATCAGATACCTCTTTTCCCCCCAGGGAGCCGTGGGGTGGAAGCATTCCTAAGACTATAACTAGGAACTCAGTGGGGAACTCAACAGGGACTCAAGTCAGCTGTTGGCTGGGTCAGAACAAAGCAGTCTGTTTCTGCGTGGGTCATGATGCCGCTGTGAAGGCCTGAGGTTAAGATGGCTACAGGCCGTAGGCAGGCCTCACAGGGAGAGCCGGCCTGAAGGACTCGCGATCATGCTCCATGCAAAATGAGCTGGGCCCAGAGAATGTGGCTGGAAAGTGATAGGATGGGAGGGTTGGGGAGTCACAGAGGCCCCCAGGAACAGGTGCAGTGGAGACTGTTGGCGCAGGGTGGGTTGCCTGAGGTCCAGGAGAGTGCCTCCTCTGTCCCCTATCCCGGTACCTTGAGAGGAGAGGAGCACATCAGTAACCCATGGAAGCCCCATGTCTCAGTCCTAAGAGAATGTGCTAGGGCCTTCCCGGAGACAAGGCCAAGAAGCAGGCGAGGCAACACTAAAGAAACCATATGGTGGTCAAACTCCCACCCAACCTGGACATTAGAGCGTTTCTGTTGAGTAGCCAGCACCATCTAGAACCTCGGATTCTTTCATTCTTGTTTGCAGCTTTTGGTCATGTTCTGTTTGCATCAGCTCCTTAGTAAGATGGCTCAGAAACCTTTCTTTTAGCCGTCTGTGTACTTGCCGGAAGGGAAGAAATACTGTTTTCACGCCCAGGTCAGAGGGCAGAGGAGCCCTGTGCTCTTGGTGGCCAGCAGAGGTGGAAGGCAGGGACTGTCCCAATTTCAGACGCCAGACAAGGCAACCATGATGAGGATGGGGAATGAGGATCCTAGGCAAGTGAGTCAGGGTCTGGTCCCTTCCTGCCTGGGCATGGACATGTCAGCGACTTTAGTGCAAGTTGGGCAAGCCTCATCCCACTGCCCCCCACGCTGGCCCACCTCTGTTCCTGCAGAGGCTGTGAAAATGACCAATTGCTGAAAATATGAGGTAGAAAATATGGGGTAGAAAGGAACCCTCAAGCAAAAAGAGTGGTGAAGTTTCAAGAGCTGGGATGCTGGGAGAAGCTGACCAGGCCAGACGTGTCCCTGGCCACTGTGGATGACTGACAGGGGCCTGACTGCTTGCAGCCTTGTACCGGGGACTGGGGTGGCCAAGGGGCCCCGAGAGTCACTTGGGTCTTTTCTCTTCCTCTGGAGACCTCATTCCTCTCCGTGCAAAGAGTGGGTTTTCTAAAAAAGAACCGCTTGGGATAGATTTAGGATTATGACCTCTTTTGAAAACTCCATGGCACCTTTTAGAAAGTCATTTCCCCCTAGTTGTTAAGATTTTGCCAGTGTGACTTCTAGTCTTTGGGACACACAGAGGCCTTCTACTTTCCCTAGGCTTATTATTCCATGGCACTAGGGGAGCCAATCAAGGCCAGGAAAAGGCAGCTCACAACCCCTCATCTATGGCAGGCAAATTCTGGATTAATGAAAGGGGGTCTGTAGTGACTGGCCAGAAGCCATTACCCTGCTATCATCAGAATCCACCTTTCTATTCCTTTTTATATACTTGAGAAGAATACACAGACACACACTTACATTACTACTACCACTACCATCTAGAAAATGAGCCATTCCTTGCCCCTCACTTCTCGTGAAGTATATCCTCACTTGTACCCAGCCCTAGTTCATGGCGTACAATTTTGCAAAGAGTCATTGCCTTCAGTAAGCCACTCCCAAGATGAGAGAGAGAGGAAGAGAGAGAGAGAGAGAGAGAGAGAGATCCTTTCATTCACCCCTAAACACCTTAGAGGTTGCTTTGGACATAGTTATGCCTCTTCCATTTTTCTATGCCTCACTTTGCTCCCAGACAAGCTTACATTGATTCCTTATCATGGTAATTTCACCCAACCCTTTCCTCTACCATCTCTTCACTTCATCCCTAAGTCTGAGGGTTCAGTTTCCTCTCCCCATATTTACAAACCCAGGCAGGTTGGGTCGCTGGTGTGATGCTATCTGGGACAGCCTTATCTAGCTACAAAGTATGAATCAGAGATTACACCACACAGGGCTGGTGCCAGCCAGGCGGGCTGCCATATTGTCAAGTAACCCAGTGGTTGAACCAGGTTGGGTTGAGTAATATGCACCAATGGGAAGTGAGTTTATTAATCATGCAGCATAGTACACTGTTGACGAAAGTATAACTCTGAAGGCCTGATTTGATTGGAGGCGGTGCAGGTGGGGCTGGATGCTAACTATGAAGACACCCAGTGACGCGATCCTTCTCTGATAAATATGCACTTGAAAAACACAGAAATCCGGAAGCAAATATCTAGTTTAGCAAAGAGGTGGATTATATACTCAATCATTAGGACTTTTCAGCCATCTTGGATTCCCTTTGTTAAAAAAGGATACCTCCTTGCGGCTATAGTTGCAGTTCGGAATTTCGAAAGTTTCATGAGGTGAGAGAAGGGAATTCAAGATGGCAGCCCGTGACCTAGAATTGTGTGGGTGAGGAAATGGAAGATTCCAGGCCGCATTCTCTTTGTTGATCTCACACTTCAAAAACATTCTTTTCTAAGGCCACAGCGCACCACCTCCACCCGGCTCTGCCCTCAACTTCTTGGTAACTTCAGCCAACCAGAAATACCACCCACATTTTTCAGGGTGATGGGCCTGACTGGGGCGGCAAGAGCAGTTTCTGAGCAGGGATGCTGTACTCCATTTCTGTCACTGTATGGTTGCTTCAGGCGGCAAGACGCTGTCCCCCAGTTGCTGTGTGGTGCTTCATCTACACAGCGCAGGATCAGACACGAGCGAGCGCCTGCCCCCAAGCTTTGCTGAGGCGAATGATGTGCAAAATACATGACAGAAAAGCCCAACTGAGTGTTTTAGAGGGCAGGTAGGAAGAGAGAGAAAGGACTGATCTGTCCAAAGGCCATTCTTGAACAAGCTGCAGGAGGAGAAAGGACTGTAAAGACTCACAGGGAAATAAGGTGAAGGAAGCAGGGCGGGGCTGGGGACACACGAAGGAAGTGGAGGGTACGTGTCTCTTTAAGAGAAGCGGGAGAAAGCTCTAGGGCTGGCCAAAGAACTCAGTTAAGAAAGGGGAAGATTCTGGGGAAGAAAGCTCATAGAGTACGGGAAGCATCACCTCTATGGGCGATAGAAGTCGTAAGATGAGAGGGGTTAAAGCTATATGAAATATTCCTTGTACGTTCTCCAAATCCCAAACATTCTTTCTCCTCGCAGAAACATCGGATCCCTGGGGAGTTCATAAGAGCTGCTTTTTTTTCAGCCAAGACCCTCTTTCCCAGGCAGCTGCAAATAGTAAGGCCTGGAGGGTCCTGTCCTAGTGGGACTGAAGATGCATACTTTTTAAATCTGATTTTTCCCAATTATCTGACCGCAATAGAGCCTCCAATCTCTCTGGTTATCTTGCCAACCTTGGAGAACCTTCTCTCAAGTCTCCACCTGTTTTTCAGGCTTCAGAAGCTGTAGCAAGAGCACTACTCAGTGTGGTTGTAGGGCCTCTAGAGGGTCCTGCTCTGGTGCTCCCTGTTACTGCCGGAGCCATAGTTCATGCACTAGATCCCCGTCTCTCTACCCTCAGTACCCACTAGAAACCAGGGAGAAGGGTTCTACAAGGTTCCGGTCACTAGTCCTGCTTCCCATGAGTTTATCTCATCTGTTTGCCTAAACTCTCTGGCAGGCTGAGACTCCCAGCAGTGTGGAGGAAGAATCCTATTCTCTCAGAACCAGGGTAAACACTAGACACGGGGTTTGAAACACCAGACCCCGCACAAAATTCTGACTGACTTCTAATAATGCCAAATTCCATGTTTCACATTGAGTTTTCAGAGCAAGAACAGCAAAACCTGGCTTAAGAACCTAGCAAACCAACCCTCAGCTGAAAACAAAACAAGACAAAAAACAGGCCAAACCAAAACTTTATACTATGAAAACAAGAAATAAAATAAGGAGATTTATAGGCCGGCTGATTGTCAGCAAACACAATATATTTACTGTATTAGCATTTGCTCACAGTGCAAATGGTACAACATTACACCATTTCAATATTTCGGTTTTTAAAAATGCTGTTTTCATTAACTATATTATATTGGCATAACAATGTGACAAAGGAGCAAATGAAATGTTGGTGAAGAATTTCACCTTTTCACAATATCAAGCATATTTTTTTAACCTTAGTATAAGGTACTATAAATCCAAGAAATAAAAACATCCACAAAATATATTACATCTGGTTTGTCTTTTTCTAAGTACTCAACTTTATACAAAAGTCTTTCAAAAAATATCATTCCCCATAGGTTTTCCTGTTTAAAACCTGATTTTTTTCTCTCAGTTCACATAAGTTAGAGTGCATTTTCTTTTGTTGTTGTTTTTTTAAAACATGCAGACATATAAAAAAATCTGGATAGCACAACCTTTTGGCAACAAAGTTATTTTTCTCTTAGTTTAAGCTTAAATGTCTGAGAACAGTTTTATTAAAACAAAGGAAAACTCAGATTATCATGCAGTGACATGCATAAACCAGAAGGAGCAAGGAAAAAATATTAAAGGATATTTGATTCCTCCTTCCAGCTTTGAAGTGACCAAAATTTTTGTTTTTAATAATCATCACATTATAAAAAGTATTCAGCAAAATACTGTCTCTGCAAAGAAAGATTTTACCCTTCAGCTGAAAAAATATGGGCCCTCCTGGCAAACTTCATCCTCTTCTCTCTCCTTCTACAAAAAGTCCAAGTACCTGGAAATTCACAATCCCCCTGCTCTTTGATTTTTTTTTTCTCTTTCACTAGACTCCTTTTAGTATTATTTATCCACCACCAAAGGAAACAGAAAACAAAAAACAAACCCAAGAAACAAAAAACAAAACAAAAAAACCCCCGATGCTTTTTTTTCTCTTAAAAAAAAAAAAAGTGGGAAACGCATAAAGTGACTTTAAAAACAGACATTCTGTAAACTCCAGACCTTTGTTCCTTCTCTCTGGGCAGCTTAGCGACCACAGGAGAAGTAACGCTAAGAGGGAACAGTGCATTCAGTCACGACTGTGCTGGAAGCTGTGTCAGAGAGCAACCTTCCCTCCTGCTCCACTTCAAGAGAGTCACCCCTGTGTGGGGGAAGCGCTGGGGAAGAGGGGGTGCCTGAGAAGAGGTGAGGTAGGGCGGGGAGAAAGTGAGACTGGGTTGCGAAAAGGTACGCCTCATTCAGCAACATGGATTAATGCAAAAATACCCATATCTTTAAGGAAAATTTGGACAAAGATGTGTGTATGTGTGTATACGCAGGTGTACATACATACATACATATATATGTTTATAGATACCTACACACACCTATGTAGATATAATCTCATCAGTTACATTTTTCATAAAAATAAATCATTTAAAGCTTATATACCTACAAATTCTCTTTATTCCGGTGCACTGCACTGGATAGCCAAGTACCTTAGAGATATTATTTTGCTAGGAGTACATAGTGTGTGTGTGTGTGTGTGTGAGATATGTATGCGTGTGTGCATATACACATACACGCATACACACACACACACACACCGTATACATAGATCTGTATTCTACCTGTTGTGTTGGCGATGACAAAGAACGAAAAATGAGCCTGCTTTCCCATCCATGGGGGGAAGGAGAAATGGGTATGAGTGAGTGAAAACAAAAAGATGGTGAAATGAGGTGGCTGGTTGAGGCCTGCCTTTCTGGAAGAAGATTTTGAAAGAGGTGGGAAAAGGCTTGAGAGAGAAGGGGGAGGAGGGGGAGAAGGCGCAGAGGGCGAGCTCAGGAACACCGATTTTGAAAAGTGGGGCTGAGGAAATAGATTTGTTACAAGGCAGGTTTAGTGATAGCTGTTCCTTCTCCCCGCAGATCAAACTGCCCTGAGGCCTAAGAGGGAAGCGCTCGGAAAAGGAGGGGTACTGAGGGGCCGAACCCCACACGGCGGTAGCAGCCCCGCGGCGGCGGCATCCGAGGCATTTCTGTAAGAAACATTCTTTCCGAGCAGATGGAAGACCGTCTCATCCGGCCACGTGCAGGCCCCCAACCTGGGACATTCCCCCAGCGGCCTGGGGACCCGATGTGGGGAAGAGTTTGGGGTGGACACAGCCCAGTTCAGCTCAAGAGTCACACACACACACCCACACACACACACACACACGCGTGCGCGCGCGCGCACACACACCCACACACCCACACACATAACACTCACGCGAGCACGCACACTCGCGCGCATCCCCGCACGCAGGCGCGCGTGCGTGCGGCGGGCAGCAAGCTCTGCGCTTTGGTGCGCTCCTTACCCCCTCCCCCTCTCGGGTCTTCGAGGGGGAACCGAGAGAGACGTGGGGGGAACCGTGAGGTGCTTGGGTCGGGCGAAGCTTGGGCGGGCCCCGCCTTCAGTCCCCCGCAGGTCCTTGGCGCGGCCCAGCGGCCCCTGGATCAAGACGATCCGAACTGAACAAAGCGGGCTAGACGCCACCTTTCCGCCCCCACGCCTTGGTTAGGGGGGGGCAGCGAAGGGAGGGCACCTCCTGCCCTGGCCCCCGACCGTTGGCCGGTGTGAAAGGGTGGAAACGGGGGACATCGAAGGGGAACAAGGGACCTTACGTCCATGGAGAGGCCAGGGCGCGGCCCCTGCGCCTCCGTGGCTAGCTTTCCCGCTGCTTTCAGGCGAGCAGCTGGGAGACACTGCAGGGGAAAAGTGGGGATCTGGGGGCCCGAGCCTCAGGCGCAGGTGGTGACCACAGGGGCCAGGGACACGGGGGGCGCCGAGGACGCAGAGGGCGCACCCCCCTTCTCCGCCTTCTTCTCTTTTTGCTTGAGGTGGATCTTGGCGTGGCGCTTGCGCTCGTCGCTGCGCGCAAACTTGCGCCCGCAGAACTCGCAGGCAAAGGGCTTCTCGCCCGTATGCGTGCGGATGTGAGTGGTTAGGTGGTCGCTGCGACTGAAGCTCCGCATGCAGATCCGGCACTGGAAGGGCTTGTGGCCCGTGTGAATGCGCAGGTGCCGGGTCAGCTCGTCCGAGCGACTGAAACGGCGGTCGCAGCCCTCCGCCGGGCACGCGTGGGGCCGCTCGTGGAGCGGGGTCTTGCTGGGTCGGTTGGGATACTTGCGGGGCCGGATGGGCTTGAGCGTGAGCGGCGGCTGGGGCAGGCTGCCAAAGCCCGGGTGGATCTGCTTGTCTTTGAATGCCTTGATGGTCTCCAGAGGGGTAATAGGGGGCGGGTTGACCCGGATGGGGTCCATGCCCTGGAAGGGCTTGTGCTCCGGAATGGAGCCCATGTCGTTGGGGTGGTGATAGAGGTTGTAGTCAGGAATCATGGGGAAGAGATTGCTGTCCAAGGCCGGCTTGGCCGATTGGTAATCCTGGGGGGAATAGGCGAGCCCGGGGTTGCCCTGGGGGTCGTGGAAAGACACAGGCTCCGAGTAGAGATCACTGCAGTTAGAATAGGGGGGCAGCGCCGGATACATGGCCTCCACGTCGCCCTGCGGCGGCTGCACCATGCTGGCCGTGGAGGTCTGCGTGCTGAGTGCCCCTGAGGCCGGCGGCACCCCCAAGATGCCAGCGCTCATGAGGCTAATGATGTTGTCCTGACACCAGTTGGAAGGGGAGTCGAAGGCGAACTTTCCCAAGTAGGTCACGGTCTTGTTGCCGGGGGCTGGCTGGAAGGAGCCCGAATAAGAGAGTTCCGGGTTGGGCTTCTCGTTGGTCAGACCGATGTCCATCACATTCTCTGCGGAGAGCGGGGAAGAGAGGGGAGGGGTGAGTGAAGCCGAGCCGGCTCCCGGGCCGGGGCGCCCAGGTCCTTGCCCAGGTGCGGAGGGTGCGGCCGGGTGAAGTGAACAGCGCACGGGGTAGGAGGAAAGCTGCGCCCGGGCGCAAAGCGGGCGGTGCCGTGCTCCCGGGCGCAACCTGGATACAGCAAAATACTACGGATCGGGGTGTGGAGTGGCTGCTGCACACGCACACACACCGCACACGCCGCGCACACACTCACGTATCACACGCACACACACACGCGCGCACGCGAGAAGCATTGTTGTTGTTTCCGAGGTGGGGCGGGCAGGTAGCTGCAGCTACAGGTAGTTTCAGACCCCGAGCGCGCCGGGCTCTCGCTCTCCGGCGCACACAACTCGGCCTCTTCCCCTAGCCCTGTCCGCGCCGGGACGCCGCGCCTTTCCTGCCCCGACGAAGCCCCCCGTGCGCACCGCGCCCGGGTCGCCGACCCGGAGCGCTCCGACGCTTTGTCCTCTGCGCGCAGAGGGGTTCTGCCCGCAAAGGGAGCTCTCCCGCCGCCTTCCCGGGCCCCAGCCTCCGCCAGGCCTGAAGGAGCTTTCGGCTCTTGCTGGAGGGGGAAAGCCCAGCCTCAGCGAGCGAGGGTGGAGGGCGGCGGAAAACCGGCCCGTGTCTCCATGGCGGGAGTGGCCGCTCTTCCCAAGCTCCACGGCCGGGGGATCGTCCCCCGTGACGGCCCCCGCGCGGGTGGACCCCCTCCCTCTCCCCGCCGTCCCCACACCCCCACGGCTTTGCTGAACGCCCCGGAAAGGCAGCGTCGCAGTACCTCTCCCACCGCGGGGACTCCACGCCGCACATGGCTCCATCCCGGGTGGGAGGCTGAGGGAGTAAGGGGGGGAGAGCGCGGGTGAAAGGGACGCTGGGCTCCTCCCGGGAAAGGGGGCGACAGCACCACGCCTTGCGCGCAGCCTGGCGATCGCGCCCCCTAAGTGGAGAACCCCAGAGCCACTCGCACCTACCTCCCTCTGGTCGGCGGCTGCCCCCACCCGGGAGAACCGAAGCCTCTACCGTGGCGTCGCCAACCGAGCCTTCCCGATCAGGGAGGGCGGGAGGAGTGGGTGGGAAAAGCAACTCGCCCCCCGGAAAATTCCCAGCGCGCCCCCATCTCTCCATCCATCCATCCATCCATCCATCCATCTATCCATCCATCCATCCATCCATCCGTTCTTCGCTAGCTCGTTTCCTCCTCTTCCTCTCTCCCTTTCCTTCCTCGCTGCCTCGCCGCCTCCCCGCCGCCCTTACCTGTAGCCATCTGATTGTAATGGGCTACCGAGTCGCTGCTGCCGGAGAAGAGGTTGAGCGCGCTGGGGATCTCCTCGGGGTACAGATTGTCAGGCAGTTGGTTTAGCAAACTGCTCATGGTCACCGGCAGCTTCTCGGCGAGTTTGCCGGTCATAGCACTCCCGAGCTGCCGCCGCCGCCGCCGCCGCCGCCGCCGCCGCTCGCTCCTAACGCAGCTTCCAGGCAAGCGGCATCCGAGAGGCGATCCGTGGTGCAGGGGAAAAGCATGCGAGAGGGAAAGTTCGGGGGGAGGGGGAGGGAAGAGGGGAAGGGGTGGGCCAGGGGAGGGGATCTTCTCTTTTTGGGGTGGGTGGGAGAGAGGGCAAAGGGGGGTAATCCTCTTGGGTGCCTCCGCTGGTGCCGTAAGAGGCTGGGGGGGGGGCGTGTGCGGGGGGTGGGGGGTGGGCCTGGGCTGGGGGAATCTCGGCCCGAGGGGGTTGGACGCGGCCTCAGTATTGCTCTCACAAACAGATGCGCGCCGGCGGCCCCCCCGCCCCCCGATCCGCCACCGCCGCCACCGCCACCGCCGCCGCCGCCGCCGCCGCCGCCGCCGCCGCCGCCGCTACCACCACCACCAGCCCCGCCGCTTCCTAGCAAGCTCACTGCTGCCCAAAAGCTCCCAGCCAGGGAACTCCACCAGCCTATTTATCTGAGCCCCGGGAAAGCTCCGTGACGTAGCTGCCCATATATGGACAGACAAAGCCCAGCCGAAGGGGCGCGACGTCACAATGGAAGCTCCTCACAATGGAACATTAGAAAGCAGGAAGCGGGCCGCAGCCAACATGCGGCGCCCGCAACGCTCGCGGATCTTAAGAAAATGAGAGAAAGAGAGAAATAGAAGGAAGAAGGAAAATTCGAGAGGAGAGAGGACAGAGGGAAGCAACTGAACGCAAAGCGTAAAGCGCGCAGCGCGGAGTTGGAAAAGCAATAACCGCCTGTGTGTTTATTTTAGGTCGGCACTACGAGAGCGCGCTTGTACCGCGGGGGGCGGGGGGCTGGAGTTGTTTGCAAGTGGCCTCCAACACCCCAAGCAGGGAGAAAGGCAATTGGAAACACCCGGCGAGGTCCCCTTGCAACCTGGGAACTTCTGGGGAACCCGGAAGGTGTGCGCTCCGACCCTGCTCCCGCCGCTCGTCTCGCACCTAGGACCCGGCCTGAGACCGAGAGAAAGGGAGGGCGTCCCTTCGAGGAGGATTGCAGCGGGTCAGGGATCGCAGATCCAGGATCCCCACCACATTCGTGCGGCCCTCACTGGGATTCTCCGCCCGAACCCCTGCCGCTCCCGGGGCCCCTGACCCTGAGCTGACTCCCAGCGGAGCGCGGCGGCGGAGAGCTTGGTGGCTGCAGCGTGGCGGCGCGGGAGGCGAGAACCCCGCACTTTTGGGGTCGAGGATGTATGGTTCGGGTGGTGAAGAAGTAGGAATGAAGTTGAGGGGATAGGAAACATGTGCACCAAATCCCTGATAATTCCCTAACGGTTCCAAAGCACCCCCTTTGGCCACGGGATGGCAGGAGGGCTCAGCAGGCCCAGGCGCAGTCGCTGTCTGTTGCTGCCTGCGAAGGGCCCGCCACTGAGTTGCAGCGGGAGCCTGCCGAACCCACAGTCTCGGAGCCACCTCCTCTAATCTCTACCCTCCCCCTCGCCTTCCACAGGGCTGTCCCCATCGCTGCCTGCCGGCGCCCTGCAGTCAAGGGCCTCCTGTTTGACGACCGGAACGCTGTCACCTCCCGGAGCGGCAGCAGATCCCGGGGGCGGCTGCTACGTTCCCCGAGGTCTGCTGCGGGAGCGCGCGCGGCCGGGCCGCGGGAGAGCGGGAGGAGAGAAAGGGAGCGTGGGGGAGCGACCCCGAATCACACCGGCACCGGCTTGGCGTGGGAGGATTCCCTCCTCGGTGGCCGTGTGGGCGCGGTGAATCCCGCGTCTCCCCCCCGCCCCTCGCTGGGGAGTCGGGGTTGGGGGAACGTGCATTCTCAGGGGGAGTGGGAGTGTTGACAAGGAGGAAGAGAGGATCCCCGGGCCTCACTCCGTGGGAGGGCCACGCGGGCCGGGGACGTGTGGGAGGAACTCCCGAGCTGCACATCGTGGTGGGGGTGGATGACAACCTCGCTCCCCTCCCCTTCGCTCGGCGGAGAACTGGGGTGGGAGGACCCGGCCTCCCCCGGATCTTCTCTGGTTCTCAGCAAAGGAGGGATTCCCGCCGCCCGCGAGCCCCCTCACCCCACCCCACCCCGGCCGCCGCTCCCGCCAGGCTCCCCACACCTCTACTGCGGAGGCACTGCGCCCCCGGGCTCTCCTCCGCCTGCGCGGCGCAGGGAGGGAGCGCTCTGCAGCGGTCCCGGGCTCCGGCCGGAATCAGGGCATGCAGCGCCTCCCGCCCCCGGCTCCCTCCCTAGGGGGGCGAGCGGCCGGCCCGGGGGCGTGGGCGGCGGTGTGAGCCCGGCTGGGCGCGGGAGGGGCCCTGGCGGCTGCAGGGAGGGTCGCGGGGCTGCGGGCCAAGCCGGGAAGAGCCATACAAGGAGCGGATCCGGTGACGCGCCGGCCGCGCCCCTTCTCCTCGATTTGGCTGCTGATTCCGGTCCCCGGATTTGCATATTTTGGCATCCAGTGGAAAAGGAAAGAAGAACGGAACCCGCAGCCTTTAAAGGAACCGCACAGACTCTAGCGTCACCTAGGGAGGCGGTCTGGGGGGCGTGAAAAATTAGCCGGCGGCTCCGGCCTCTGGCCGCCGAGCCTGGCGGCGAGGGAGAAGCCGGGAGCGGCGGGGACTAGCGAGTATCGCCCGCACCTGGCCCCTCGGCGGCGCTTCCTGCTGCCCGGGCACCCGGAGGTGGCAGGGGGTCTCCGCGGGTTCCTGCCCGGGGCCAGCAGACGCCGCCAGGGCCGCGGCCTTGGGCGAGCGGCAGGCCACCGTTTTGACTGCAGTGCCCTGTTTCCCCGCGCGAGGCACAGCTCAGCCTGCGGGGGTGGCAGGAAGGAAGCGCGAGACCTACAGGCCGTCTAGCTCCACTCCGGGGGACCCTGCCGCGATGCACCCCCTCCCCATCCGTCCAGACCTCTCCCCAGGAGAGGAGAGTCAAGGAGCTGGAAACCCTAGTCCTGTTCGATAGGGGCCCACGTTAGGAAAGGCAGAGGCAGTGGTGAGAATTTGGGATCCTTGAGAGCTTCCAGGACCCCAGAGACGGTGGAGGAGTGTAACCCGGCCAGAGATGGCCCGCAGACACTTTCAGCCTAGCTGCACTTGTCGCACCCAAGGAGAGGGGCGAGGAGCAGAGCTTGCCCGCCTGCTCACCCCGTTGGTGAGACTGGATAGGAGTCTTTGGGGGCAGATTGCCTCCCCCCTCCTTCCTACTAGTTCTTGACAAAGAATGGGAGCCTTCAGTTTAATTAAATAAGTATTCATTAATACTTAAGGTGAGGGCAAATTTCTGAATTTCTTTCTTAGCCTCAGTTTCCTTGTTTGTAAATTGGGCTAATAATAGTGCCTATTGCTTTGGAAGCTTTAAATGAGATAATCCTCATACTTACGCTAGCCCCCTCGCAAGCACTCCATAAATGGCAATTAATATTGGTAAACTACATTCTCCCCCACTCTACCATGTATCTTATGTGTGAGCATAAGTGATAAAGGGAGTAAAAAGGGCCAGGTATCCCACATCCGTGTGATCATATACAAGAAGCATTAAAGTTTATTATTAAGGGGAGAAAGAAAGTCCTGTTTGTGTGCCAGGTACCTGCTGGGCACTGTGCCGATGTAGAGATGGTTAAAGAAAGGTCCTCACTCTGCAGGAGCACCAGCCCTGGATAACTGGGGCTGACATAAGGCCGGGTACAAAGAAGTCACTCGGTTGCACTTTAATACTCTGGAGCATCCTTCTAGATTTTTTGGAGCGTGGCTCTGGCTCTGGGAGTGAGGTGGGGGACATGTGCCCTTCTGTCCCTCCTCTGCCGTAAGAAGGAGTCATGCTGGGGAAAGCCTGCCTCTGCAAGCAGAGGTCCTCCCTGCCTGGCTCCAGTTCAGGCTGGAGCCCCCATAGGTGTCCCCTGTTACCCGGGATGATGGTGGCAGACGGAGGCCAGGCTTCTGTGGCAGGAGGGGACAACCCTGGGCATGAAGTGGGTTTGGGGTGTTTGGAGTGGTTGCTTACAGACTAATAGCCGTCTCCCATCTGTTTGCCAAGCCTTGAATTCAGCATAGAAAAAAAGCTTTCCTCCTTTCCTCCCCCCTTCTTTCTTCCCTCCCTCCCAAACAGGGGCTGAGGGTGATTGTCTCAGTTTTATTGGCGGGCTCAGGTGAGAATGCCAAGGGCCTAATTACCTGAACTCCAAGCCCCGGACTTGTTGGGGAGCGAGTAGGCACTGGTTCAGGGCGTCCTCAGCCTGGAGATGGTGAAAGGCAGGCCCGGCCCCTCTGCACTGGGGCCAAGGCCACCCAGCCCCTGGCTGCTCTCTCCCACGGAACCCAGCTCCCCACGCCAGCTGCATTTGTGGGGACTGCTGCCGCTTGTGGGGGGCATAGGTGTGTTTGTCTTTGTGGAAGGATAAAGGAAGGAGTCGATGTGGCCCCAGGAATTCACCCCCGAAAAAGGCCAGGTTGTTGCTCTGTCTGGCTCCTTAGTTCCTCAGTCACCTTTGAACTTCAGCTCCCCTTTTTGCTGAAGACATCCAGTCCTCTGCAGTCTTATAAGACCCCCCCCATTAATTCAATCTGGGGTGTTAGCAATTAGTGCATCGCTCTTCTCAGAGGCGATTTGCATTTTAAAAGAAAATGCTTAGGGAGGGTAAGAAATAACCCAAAGGGATGAAGCCCCATGCTTAGCATGACCCCTGGAAATGGTAGGTGCTCAGTGCTGGAGGACTGAAGTCTGACTGTGGGTAGCAGGCCCAGTGACAAGCAGCGGGAGGTCTGGCCTACAGAGAGAGTGTCTGGGGTTCCTCACTTCATTCCAAGCACCTGTGTACAGGGCCCACCTGGTGGGATTGCTCTGGACTGACCCTTGTCTCAAGGGTGTTCCGTTGCCTTCCATTTTGGGGTGCCCCACAGGATGTGCACAGGAGACAGGTCACTGGTGGAGTCTCCCTGGCCAGCTCTCCCTGGCATTCTCGAGGTCATTGCTATTTGTTTGACAAAGACAGCCAGCTGAGGGTAGGTGGGTTTTGCCTAGAAGCTTTTGGAGGGGAAATAGTGTTGACAGCCATGAAGACTTTTGAAGGTGTGCTCCTTCTGAAGCCACAGAAGGTGGGGCCATGGGAGCCCTGTGGACATACTTCATTGTCTTCATTCAGTGAAAACGCTTTTAGGGCTGCCCCCTTAACATTTGGCTTTTTTAAAAAAAATGGGAAGAGTCCGCCAAGTTGTTCGTTGCAAGATACGGGGCCAAGAAGTGGCTGAGCTGAGATTTGAACTCGGGGCCTTGTGACTCCAAGCTACTGCTCTTCATTCTTCATTTGCCCCCATCATGGCTGTCAGAGAAAGAAATGAGATGGCGGAGG